ACAAGAATCTTCCTCCTACAGTATGCATCTGATAAGCAAATTTATATCTCTGGTACTGTTTTACAAATGCGATCATTCCTGGGGTTACTCTGAGGGAACTCCACGCCTCACCCAAAGGAATCAATGACAGACTTTTTAGCTGTGGGGCAGCTGTGTAGAGAAGTTATTTGGAGTAGGACTGTCTTTCCAGGATCACTCAGGGTTTAACCTGTTTCCCTTAAAACTAAGCTGGCTATGGTTATGAAGACAACACACTTAGGAGTTTTAATGCTCACTTGTGACTTGCATTAAAGATGGAATTTTCCATGGAAACAGCAGCTCAAAAGGATTCTTTGTTGGGATTGAGACCCAAGTGTAATGGATCTTTTCACTATCTTATGGGAGTATTTGTAGTGTGTTGCTGCCTTGTGCTATGATAAGATGACCATTTTTCTGATCTGCCCTGTAAAGTAAAGGCTGATGGGTGTGAACATGATCCTCCCTGAGGGGTGCAGAGTTCAGGAATCACTGCTGGGAAGGCACAAGTCCTCAGAAGTCTCTGAGGCTCACTTTGGTGACTGACCTTTCAAGGAGTTTGAGAGAACTTCAGGGGCTATTTGCCTCCACTCCTGTTCTCTATGCTGTAAACCCTGACTCTCTTGGGTTCTGAGGGCCCCATTGGAAAAAACAAAAGTCAGCCAAGACTCTTCAGTAACATTTGGATTCTCCTTTCTATTTCCTGAGGAGAATTTTCTGCTACTCCTGGAGACACCCACTCAGAAATTATAAGGTAGCCCCAGAGAAGATGGCTTCAAGTTCCTGGAGGCAACTGTTGATGAGACAGCTGACCAAGTGCGGTCAAGCCCAGGCACGGTAATATCAAGACACTTGGTACCTCGCACTGCTTTCTTCATGATAAATGACTCCCTGCATGGCATACATCCCGAGTTCTTTTCATGCCTTATCTCTTCTCTCCCTCGATCAGTTCATCTTCTTCCCCTTTGAGAAAGACCTCTCTACTTCCTATTAGCTTTTATTTTGCTCTTTATTTTTTACTGCAGGTTTCTCACATAAGAGAAACAATGTGATGTTTAAGCTTGTGTTTATTTCACTTAACATTATGGTCTCAAGGTACATCGTATCGTGTGCTGCAAACATTAGAAAAGGAAAGGAAGAGGATGAAGAGATGGGGGAGGGGGAGGGAGGGAAGGCAAAGGGGATGAAAAAAGCAATTAAGATATGTACATGTGCCAACTCCATAGAAGGAATACAAATATTTTGTACTAATAAACTAAAAAAGAAAGAAAAATAACCTTCCTTCAACATTACTTCATGTCCACCTCATGAGAAGTGTCCCAACTGTGGCTTTTAGGTCATGGAACAGGCCCTCAGGACTGGGTGTGAACTTTCCCAAGATAGGGAGTCTAATTTTATAACAACTTTTTGTTTGTTTGTTTTTCGTTTTTCTTCCTGTACCAGGAACCGAACTCACGACCTCGCGCTTGCCAGGGAGGCGCTTTGCCGCTGAGCTAAATCCCCAGCCCCTATATCAACTTTTAACCCTAGGAATCATTTGTTTAGCATCAAGTTTCAGAGTCTTATCTTCTTCCACTGAAGAATTTTTTCAAGAGAAAATCCAATCTTTCAAGCTTGGATGTGAGCATTTTTTACTCAAATCCCTGTTCCTAGGCTGGATGGCTGTTTTGAGTAGAAATCCTTTTTTTTTGTTTGTTTGTTTTTTTTCTGGTACTGGGAATCAAACTCATGACCTTGCGCTTGCCAGGCAGGCCTGTGCCACTGAGTTAAATCCCCAGCCCCCAAGAAATCCTATTAGCATAGGAATCAATCATTTTTTTTTTCTCTTTTGCTCATGATCTTCTCCAGAATTCCCCCTTCCCTAAACGGTCTTACCAGTCACGCAACAACCCCATTCTGGTTCTTCTCGTCTCTAAAGCTGTCCCCAGTATCTCCCTTCCTAGAACTCAAAGCTCTTTTTCTAAATGACCCTTATGGCAATGAATCATGCACATGCTGTAACACACTCTAATAATGATTTTATGATAAGTATAATACCCAACTCACTCAGCTTTGCTAATTTTGATATACAGCAGACATCTCTGTCTGCATGATGAGTCTCTGGAGTATTACTGCAATGCTGCACAATGGCTTTCATTTAGGCAGATGTTTTTATCTATTGTCTGTGTCAATCTGCTTTCCATGAAGAAAATTTGGCTGACCTTCAAAGGATAAATATTATTGACTTCCCTTGGAAGCCAATGGAAGTGACATCACTATTGAATTTCTTCAAGTAAAAATGGAAGATAATGAAATGCAGCACAGTAGTTGTTAAACAGATTTCATTGTTATCCATCATTCCATAAAATAAGCATAGTTCCCACTCCTCTACACGTTGTTCTTTGTAGCATTTAGCACAGAATAAATAATGATTCCCTGACAACTCATCCAGGAAATATTTAGACTTATTTGCTCTAAGAATAAGGTGAAAATTAAACATTCTTGGACGAAAAGCCCACTGGATGAAACAGTGTATGATCAGAACAAAGTGTGTGATGTTATAGATACAATCTGATGAAACAAATGTGTTAATAAATCTACCATTTTTTCTTTAGAAAATAAATGTATTGCTTAGCCAGCAAATAAGTTAATGTATTTAAATAGTTTTGAATGTTATGCTCCCTTCAATCTCATGTAATCAAACAATCTTGAAGCTACTCAAGATTGGATCAATGGTAGCTTATCATCTGGCACTTGAAAACTTCTCTTATTTTGCTGGATCTCGCCTGGAAGTGTAGGTAAGGAGACAGGGCAACACCCTACTTACATGGCTTAATGACCCAAGAAAAAATGAGTTATTCATAATTGGGGAGGTTAATTCTAAAATCTGAGAATTTTATCTGGGAATAGGTTACTAATATAATTTCCAAAGGAGAAACTCTTCTTGGAAAAAGATCGGGCTGACTCGCTCCATTGTTTATGTATTTCACAGTACAAAGACTCAGTCTTACCAGGCTCCATATTAGGAAGAGGATTAGAACCATCACCTAATGTATACACTAGTCATCACCTAATGTATACACCTAATAATATAAAATATTTATCAGGTTAATTCATGACTCACAGATTTCATCCACTCCATGACTTCAATTGTTTGCAGGAAGTTTTCAGGGGAAAAAAAAAAAAAAAGATAGCTTGCAGTGATACGAAAAGAACTTGGCTGTAATTCTGAAGAGCTGGTTTCTCTCTTCTGTTCACCTAGTGTTTTGTGTGCTTTATTGACAGTGATGCTGGCTGACTGAAATGTGATAATTAATGATTTTATATTGTGAAGAGCTAAGAACTCGATAGTTTGATCTTTCTAAGCAGACAATTCTAGGCTGAAATACAGCTTGTCCTCTGTTAGGCTTCATTACTCAGGGAAAAGTTCACCCGCAAGAATCTTCCCTGGTTTAACAAGAAGGGTCTCTGCCTATGCAAACCGCAGGATCTCTTTCTGGTTGCTGGATCACAGGTGGCTTGCTCTCTTTCCGTTTGCAAATGAGGTGCATCTTGAGCTTGCTTATCTTTAAACAAGTAAGTGGGAAGCTGTTTGGGGTTTGAGGAGAACACCAAATCAGCTCTCAGGAGGTATGAGTCCACAGTTCCTCTTTGAGGAAAAGTCCCTGGAGAAGGGACAAGGCATCAGAAGGCTGCCATAGGAGAACTGACACAATAAAATCATTTATAAACAGGTATCATACACACACTTATAATCCCAGAATTTGGAAGGCTGAGGTGGGAAGATTTCAAAAGCAGCTCGGGCTACCTAAAATGTTCCAGGCCAGCATGGACTACACGGTGAGACCCTGTCTCAAAAAACAAAACAAAGAAAATTTAAGCCATAAGTGGCTTTGTTTCCTCTTTTTAAAAGGGGATGTTTATTGCTACCTCAGTTACACCTACAAGGAGAAAATGCATGTGAATGGGCTTAGGAATAACAGTAACACACTTAAACACATGCATGATCCCTGATCACTGAGACTATCAAAGCTGTTCTCCACTGTTTCCAGAGGCAGCAGAGGAAATACAGTTTACATTCCCTTCTTTTACCCAATAGTTTGATTTTTTCCTTGAGGCCATGTAACAAATGAAGAGTCTAACGAGAAACTAGATGTGATTCACGATAATTAAGAGGGGAAACGTGCTGGAAGAACTTGACTAACACTGGCTACAAATTATGAGCTCACTGGACTCAGCCTCACTGACAAGAATTAGAAGAGGCTGGGAGGTCTCTGGAACAGTGAGAGGATGTGGTGCAACAGCAAAGGAAAACGCGAGTGGGGGTAAAAGGCACGCAACTGTGAAACGAAGGAAACATGCAGTGCTGCCGGGGAACCTGCTTCCTCTTCAAGCTGGTTAGTCATTGCAGATGATCAGATAAGAGAAGCACAAGAACTTCAAACCAGGAGAAAGAAAAAAAAATTCACTGAGGTGGCTGGGAGAAGACATTTCAGGGATACAGCTCAAGAAGAAAGAGAAGTTTGAGGGAAAGAGCTACCCACTGTCAGGTGCAAGTGTTTTCTTTGAGGGACAGAGGGTGGCTGACAAGGCAGGAGTCTGCACATTTCCTGTTCCTATTTGCTAAACCAACACCCTTGTTTACCTCGAGCTCCTTGGTGCAAGGAAGGGCTTTCTATTGCCCTCTTTGTAACTTCTTTAGTCTCATCCTATATAGAGCAGCCACATGGACAAACCTTCTTCCTACAGGGTAAGACTGAGCTTGCAGGGTATGCGGTAGAAGGTGCCTGTATGTGCGAAGAGCACAGAAAATGTGCCTCGAGAAGTTAATATTATTTTTAAAAGGAAATCTGATCACACACATTCATTTCCTCAAGTTGAGGGCTCCTGTTGTTAGCATCTCAAACCTTCAGAAAGTAAATAGAAGGATGGGTGAAAATGACTTCTTACCTTATTTGAAAGGGTCAAGAGAGGCATTTTAGACAAGCAATTTTTCTAGCCAGTCATGAAGAAAATATCCTTATGTTCTTGTTTATTACTATAAAGGAGCAAGTTTATTTTAACATTTACTCTTTATTGTGTTGTATGAAGTACCTAGGTAATGCAAAATGTACTGTACTAAAATACCCACATTTTCAAAAGACATTACATGGTGTAGCTCACAGTCTCTGTGGAAGCATTGTGAGTAACCTGTGCCTTTTTGCTTTCCAATCCATTGTTGGTTGCTGTTGGAAATATAACAGATGATAAAGAAACGAAACAACAACAAAAAGCTAAGTATGAATACACTTTCCCAAACACACACATCCACAGCTTACAATGGAACCCCTACAGAAACAAGTCAAATGACATTTGATGTATTATCTATAAAATGTAGACTCTGCAATAAAAAGCCAAAGGCACATAAAAATATATTTTAACTTTAAAAATAACTTAGTTACAGTAATACCTTGTTTGTATCTTACCAACATGTAGCTGACAGTCAAAATTTTGCAATATAGATACGGTATAATATATAAGAGATATGTAAGAACTACATGAAAATCCCCAAAACCCATTGAAGTTGCTCAAATGTGAAAACACACAAAAGTTTTAACACTGGAGATCTCGTGATGGTGAGCCCCAAAAATTTAATATACAAAAAGAGTCTAGAAAAAAGGCTTAGGTGTTAAATACATTTTGACTTTCTCATGCTCAGAAAAATGTCAGAGTCCTGTCAAGTTCCTTAGCAGGACTCATCTAGCCCTTCCTGGCCGGTGCCAATCCTGGCCAGGCTGGATTTCTTACACTCCTGCAAACAAGAAAACGTGAGCTGAACATCAGCAGTGCCTGCTGAAAATAGGCTCTGACTCTCTTCCTCTTTTTGCAAGGACAGGATTTTTGTTGTTATTTTTTTCGAAATTATTTTTGCAAACAGTTAAAAAAATATTTTGTAGGAATAGGAATATTATTTTAGAAAATGCAACATATGATTGCAAAAAAACAGACAAGGAAGCTCTTCTCTTCAACTGCGGTTAGTTGACAGTTTTTTTTCCTTTTTGTACCTTTTGTCCCAAATGAGAAAGAGCATCCTGTTACTTATTTTTATCCATGACATTCAGCACCTCATCCAAAAGTGAGGGCCCAAGATCCAGCTGCAGGGAGAGGAGAGAGCCTGTAAGGTCAGAGAGGGACTCCTCCGATTTAGTCTTTCCCTTCACGAGCGCGCATGGGGCAGGCTGGTCAAACATGTCCTCAGCTGGCCAGTCGGCGTACTGTTCGGACAAGCTGGAAGCGTGGCTGTCCCTGCCCTGGCTGGACTGAGATGCTGAACCACTGGAGCCCCACGAGGTGTCGCCCTGGTGGATGGTCCCGTTTTCCAACAGGCTGCTTTTCTCCTGAGCTTTTTCCTCTATGACAGGCTCACAGCTGAGCCTGGGCAGCTTTGGCGGCCCAAAGGACTCCTGTTTGGAGCTAAACGTCACCGGTGACAATAAGGGCAACATGAGGGCTTGGGACCCTCCAATGGTCGGGAGGGAGATGGCATTTTTGAGCACTGGGGAGGGTGTTTCTGTGAACATGGAGTCTGAGGTGCTATTGGCTCGGAAGAACTCGTTATGCCCGGGGAACTGGCCCAAGCGAGTTTTCTCCTGGTTTCCGGGCAATAACTCATAGTTCCCTTGAAGGAAGGATATATCTCCAAAGACGTCGTGCTGGCCCTCTTTGCCGATGTGAATGGTGTGGCGAAAGTCCCCAAGGGGTGGGCTAATCATATCAGGAGACAAAATGTCCCTCAGTTTAAATTTCTTTCCTTTCTTGTTGTTAGCAGCTTTCAGATAGATTGGGGTCTTGGCTGGCATTTTGAAATTTTGGAATATCTTACTTTGCAAAAGAGAAAAAGGGCCACTTTCTTCACAGATGTTATATGCTTCTGAGAAATCTTTTTGGACAGGAACTGTCACATCATTTTTTCCAAGTAGCTTCAGAAGTGGCTCTGAAACGAGATGCGGTCTAAGAGACCTTGTGGAGCGTCCTGTACACCCGGTTACATCATTCACTTCCTTCCACAGCACGGAGAAACCTGGAGAAGAAACCAAAGTAGGTTATAATCTGCTGGTGTCAGGGTTTGCTCAGGCCCGCCTGTTCAGGAAAGCTTGTAAATCACGGCAGGGTCACGTCCCACCTGAATCCCAACTCTACCCTGTTTCCCTGCACTAAGCAAAATAAACTTTTATCTTAATAAGGATTTACTAATGTTTGTTTTAATTCAGGAGAAAACAGGAAAAAAAAGGGGGGCGAGCACTTAAAATCCCTAACCCTATGTATTTGGGACTCTTAAAAAACAGCCATGGAAACAATTTTCTGAACATGTCTAAGATTTCAGTCCTTTCCTTCTGTCATAGTTCAGATCCAGAATGTCCCACCCAAATCTCAGGTATTCAGAGTGGGGCTTCTGGAATGAGACTGGTTTATGGGGTGCTATACTCATCAGCAGATTAATCCACCCCTGAGTTCATAGCTGAATCTGCTGTTGGGAGAGAGGGCCCGGTGACTGGGGTGTGAACTAGAAGGGTGTTACTCCTGCCCGCAGCTACAGCTCCTCCCTTTCTCTGCTCCCTGGCTGCCTGAGTTGGTCAGCTTTCCTCTGCTATGCCATTTTCGCCTCGAAGGCAGCCAGACATGAACTGAATCCTCTGAAACCATGAGCCAAAATAAATTCCTGTAAGTTGCAGATGTCAGGTATCTTGTCCCACCGATTGGAAGCGCTGTCAGCATATGGCCACCTGAACTTGTTTTGAAATATATTTCCTCTTTTGTTACGTATACTAGCAAGACATTTGATATTTTGTTGAGTTCCGTGCATAATTAAAATATGTACAGTAAGCCCCCCACTTATGAACATCCAAGTCGGGAACTTTCACAGGTTTACTGTATAAGACTCACTTTGTCAGAATATGAACAAATCCAACTTATGAAGGTTCTCCCAGAATGGAACTCGTTTGTAAGCTGAGGACTTACCGTAATCCTATAAGGAAAGGGGATAAAAATACCATTTACTAAGTGATAATGACTATTATAGAAGCACCCAGCAAAATCCTAGAATGCATTCCCATAAAAAAGAAAACTGAGATTAGGAGTCAAGAAAAAGAATTCACCCTTCCTCAGTAACATATAGCTGGAAAACAAAAGACGTAGTCGGAATGAAGTTGTACAGGGTGGAGAGTACTAGGCAGCCAAGGGTTTCACAGTTTGGAGGTATTGTGAGATGGAAAGAAAAGAACAAAACTGCTTCATTTAAAAGAAAAAATACTCTAGTCATATAAAATAAGTTGGGCCTTCACTTGGGAATATTCTGAAACAGTGTAAGTAATACTTGTACCCTCTCCCTGGGGCAGGCATAACTCTAAGGTGCCTCCACAATCGGCCTTCTGCCTGTGTGGCTAGAACCTGTGACTTGTTGCTATCCAAAAGAGTATGGCAAAGACATGCCACTCACAGATTAGGCTACATTACAGAAGACCCCATCTGAGCCTATGACAGAGATCTGCCTTGCTGGCTTTAAAGAAGTAAGTTGCTGTCCCGTGAGAGGGCCCATGGAGACGAACTCTGCCCACGATGTTAGGCAGCCTGATGGTGGATCTCTCCTCAGTTGAGCCTTTCATGAGACACAGCCTTGGCCCACACCTTGATCAAAACCTAGAGAGAACCTGGATCCAAGCCCTATCCAGACTCCTAAACTACGGAGAGCATTAGATCATCAAAGGGTGTTGTAAGAGACTAAGTTTGTGGTGACTTGTTAAGAGCATAGAATACTAGCACATCCTTCCTTCACATACTATCTGATAGGATTAGAAGTGCAGGGCTAAGAAGGCCTCAGGGATATCAGGCCTCTATTTCACCCTTACCTCTCTGGAAAATAATCCTCCAACTCCTCCTTTGTACCAGCTGATACAGAGAAGCTAAAACCCTCCCCATCTTTGCCACAACCTTTCCAACAATTCTCCTCCCCGTTGCCACAAAGCCTGCCAACAAATACGCCAAAGTTGGGTTGGAAAGTTGCTGAAGAAAGCCACATGTGCTCTGTAGCAGCTGGAGGCTGTCTGCATCTGCCCCATATTTTTTTCCTTTCAGCAAGAGTTTTAAACTCATCTACCAGTGGCAGGTGACAAGAACTGTGTTCTAGCACCCCTGGCAAAGGTAACAAGTAACTCTGGAAAGCAGGCTGCACAGCGTGCATAGGCATGCTGCCCAGCAACCAGGCCTGCAAAGGCCCAGGATGACAGCTCTGGGGACAGGGAGGATATCCAGGGAGCAGGAGGAGCTTTGTTCCTGCTCAGAGTAGACTGACCATGGAGCTGCCATCCACACCCGCCTCTACCTAGAACAAGTGAGGGGACAGTGGTCCCCCCCCCCCCGGGACAGGGAGGAGGAGGGGAAGGAGACGGGTACCATTCTCTGAGGGTGCATGCAGGAAGGACTGGTCCTCAGGCTTCCTGGCCAGGCCCCTTCGGTCAGACCCTGCTGGCATGGGCATGAGCACTGCGGGCCTCCAGCCCGAGGTTTGCTCAGCCTGGAAAAAGCTGGGCTTAAGTCAGCGGGCTTAGGAAGCGGCCCAAAATAAGAAGAAAGGTAAGAAATGGGCCGATGAAGAGGACAGGAAGCTGGAGACAGGAAGATTCTGGAGGTTTTTTTTTTTTTTCTTTCTACAAATGTTTACATAGTACAGTATTTTACTGCCTGGGATATAGGTTTCTATAATTTTAGAAGTAATAAATTTGTACTGAAGTTTTACTCTGTATGAGTTCTAAGAGTTCCTCAATACACTGGAAATTTTAAAAAATGAAATGTTGGGTAAAAATGTCGATTTACAGTATTAGATGAGGTGGTTATCTGGCAGCTCTGACCCATCCCTGTATCTTACCTGTAGTTATCTGCCCTCCTCCAACTTGGGGCAGCCTCGCCTGACCCCAGCAGAAGCGAGCCACTGCCCCTGTCATCGTCCTATCCTACCCACTCCTTCCTCTCCTTCCTGAAGCCACAGGCTCCTGGCTGATCAGCCAGTAGATGTCTACGAAGCTCCTATCAGTCCTCCTCTTTCTCCTGCCTGGCTGACTGTTCTTTTCCCATCACCTCTGCCCTCAGTTATGCTGAAACTGATGGGGTAGTGCCTTCACTGGTTAGGAGCGGCCAGTCCTGGAAAGGATTGGTGCCTCTCCCCGCAGTCCTCAGCACCTTCGCACAGCAGTCAGTGTTTCTGCCGGGCTTCTCTATGCCCTGGGCGTGTTCCCACCTTTGACATGAATTCACTTACTCACTAGAACCTAGGAGGCTGCTGCTGCTGCTAACAAGTTAACATCACAATTTGATGAAGGAGACACTGCGGAGGCAGAGGCGTTGAGGAACCCTACCAGGGCAGTATGCTGCTGAGCACTAAGCCAGGAGGCTGAGCTCTGGAATCTAGTCTCAGGGTGCCATCTATTAAGTACACTTCCTGGGGATTCCGTGAGCTTCAGAGTGACGAAGGAATGCATTTCAAAGCCTACTAATGACACAAGCATGTGACACTGTGCTGGCTGATGAGGACGGGACCCGTCCTCAATGCACTGGCCAAAGCATGGACAAGCCCAGCCCCGGAGGAGGCAATCACAATGTCTAATAAAAACGTAAGTCTTACGTGCTCTGCCCCAGATGTCACTTACAGGGAGACAGTGTGCATGGGTATTCACACCACCCCAAGAGTTGGAAATGACCTAATTATGCACCTACAGAGGACTGGTTAAATAAATTAAAGCCCATCCATACAAATGAATATTATCACATCTAAAAAAGGATGACACTTTTAATATGGTGATACAGAAAGAGCCCAAAGATGTGCTTCTCCAAAGGAAAAAAAGAGAGGTGCAAAAGTGCATGAACGTATTTGTAGTGCCCCATATACCAAAATATTTCTGGAAACATACACAAAAAATGTGCAATGTTGACTGCCTTCAGGAAAAGTAGATGGAAGAGGGACAAAGGAAAAAGAAAAGCTTTTCATGGTATATCCTTTCATCCTCTTGGATTTTCAAGTCATGTGAACAAAGTGGCTATTTAGAAAAATAAAAAATGTATAGGGCCCTACGTACACTTTTTTTGGAGAGCCAATTTTATATATGGCACATAGTCCTGCAGAACCTGTGGAAGTTGAGCTATTGATCCTAACACCAACATTTCTACAGGAAAATGTGTTCAAAAGTAAAGTCTGCTGACAGCATGTGGCTGTACAAGACCACAAAGAGGGCTGAGCCACATCTCATCTGAGCTCGGCGAAGGGACAGGTAACTTCTTTCTGCTGTGATCAGTCTTTTGTCAAAGGGTGGCACTGACTCTTATTTTACAGAATGGAAAAGACCCTCCAAGAGAAGTGTTTTTAGTCCGAAGGAAAAGGAGAAAAGGCAGGAGGGTGAGAGAGCACAGGACGCTGGAGGAATGGAAAGACGGCACAGCACACGCGCTGAGGGGATACAGGTGGGCGGAGGTGCGCAGGCTAGGGACCTTGCATGCAGGGTAGCTAGTGACAGATTTTTACGGTGGAATGGTCCTAAATGCCCTGACAAGAGGTCCCACCCTCCCTTGTCATTTTAAGAAAAGAAGATGCGCCTAGGACACCGCTGGCGGCTGACACAAACGGCAACAGAGAGAAAACAATGGATCAGAGCTGGGGCTGGAGGATGTGCAGAATGAAGAGGGACCTCCTAGTAGGAGGCAGTGGGGAGAAAACAAAAGGCAGAGCGAAACTGGATGGCTCTTTGGGCCACTAGTGGGTTATTAGACCAGCATGGGGAAGGGAACTCTCCTCTGTGCTCCACGAGCCAGGGAAGACAACTCCAAGGTTTGTGTGTCAGTCAGGGGCCTATCACTGTATTAACTCCTGAGCACCCAGCTATTGACAGTGCTCGGCACTCTCACACGGCCACCCTCCCCGCTTTCCTGCAATCAAGGACTCCCCTTCTCAGCCTGCGTTTTATTCTCCTGCATCTCCAGTTTTCTTTAGTCACCATTCCTCCATTCCCACTACCTTCCTTGAATATTAAAAGACAG